AAATTTGTCTTGAAAATAAACTGTTCAGTTGAAAATGTAGTTTAAAAAATGAAAAGAAACTGTGGGGGAAACTCCAGGACTTCTCCCTTCCCACTTCTACCCTTCTTCCCTCCTACTTTCTCACATACATGTGAAAATATTTAGTGGGGACTCCCTCTCTCTCTCCTTTCTCTACCTCTTTCTCCCTCATTCTCTCCCACACATATAGATTCATAAATATTTAGTGGGGACTTTACTGAAAGTACTTAAATAAAAGGCCATTAAATTATGCTAAGGGAAGAAGGAAGCAAAGAAGGAAGGAAGGAAGGAAGAGAAAGAAAGGAAGGAAGGAAGGAAGGGAGAAAGAGAAAGAAAGAAAGACAGGAAGGAAGGAAGGAAGGAAGGAAAGAAGGAAGAAAAGGAAGGGAGGAAGGAAGAAAAGGAAGGGAGGAAGGAAGGAAGGAAGGAAGGAAGGAAGGAAACTGTTAGGCAGGCAAGGTGGCACGTGCCTGCAAACTTGTGGCACTTGGCAGGCAGAGGCAGGGAGATCACATACTGAAGTCCAGTCTGGGACACATAGTGAGGCAAGCTGTCTCTAAAGGCCAAGGAATGGGGATGGATATAGCTTGGTGGTGGATAGCTTGACTAGCACGCACAAGGCCATGGGTTCGATTCCCACATTACAAAATAGAAATCTTGATGTTGTAGAGTCAAATGCTAGATGCGAATTCCCAAACTGCTAACAATTAGTCATTGTGTCTCTCTGGAAAGAGCTCCACTGTCAGAACTGAGCCGGACTTCTCTCTTGAATAAGGAGATGAATGGAACTGCAGCATAGTAAAATCAAGTAACACTTTTTTCTTTTAAAGCTCTTATTTCCTCCATTTCTATGCATTCACAGAAATTCCCATTTTCTCTACAGGTGTAACTTCCAAGGACACCTTCGGGGGCCAAGTATTGACAAGTTCTGAAAATAAACGAGTTAGTCATTCTATGGATTACCATCTCATCAGCCTTTCTCAGCAAGTGTGTGGGTAAAAACAAACTTTTACAAAACTCTGGGAACACAGGCTTGAAGTGCAACCAGTTCACACCTCATCTGTGTTCAGTGAGTTCCTCTACTGACCAGCCGCCCCGTCGGAAAACACAAAACACAAGCCAAGGCTCTGCAAGGGTGTGTGCCAAGGCCAGACCTACTGCACTTTTTATAATTTAAGCATTTAAAATTGAAGAAGTCCTTTTAGACTTTCTAATTACAAGTTTGATATTACTTTAAAGTGTTTCATATTGAAGTACCGTTATCTACTTGGTATCTAATAACAAGCACCCTGTGTTATTGGGGGATATGAAGGTGCATATTGATATAGCTCTTTTTTATCTTTGCAGTAGTAGGGTTTGACCTCAGGGCCTTTGGCTTACTAGGCAGGTATTCTGTCACTTGAGCCACAACTCTAGGTATTTTTGCTTTAATTTTTTTTCTTCAAAGTTAGGGTCTTGCGCGTTTGTCAGGCCCTCCCCAGACCACGGTCCCTGTTATTTATGCCTCTTGCTCAGCTGAGATTACAGGTATGAGCCACCATGTTCTGCCTTCCCATGTAGACTTTCATGAGAGGACATACTAATATTTTTCAGTTGTCTCATGCATGTTGAGACTTGAATTAAATGTTTGCATGAATATTATATATATATCATACTATATATATAATATATGGTAACCAAAAGCATGAAATCACTCCTTGTTTTCTTTTTTTTCCCCCCTTTTTTTCTTTTGGCCAGTCCTAGGACTTGACCTCAAGGCTGGGGCACTATCCCTGAGCTTCTTTTGCTTAAGGCTAACATTCTACTACTTGAGCCACAATGTCACTTCTGGCTTTTTCTGTTTATGTGGTACTGAAGAATCAAACCCAAGGCTTTGTGCATGCTAAGCAAGCACTCTACCACTAAGCCAGATCTACTCCTTGTTTTCTATGTTCTATCTTACATAATTTTTCTCGTTTTATATAACTATTTCAATTGCAGGTCTTCATCATCCTCAGATATTAATATAGACATTTTTATAAGGTATAACTTCTTTTTGTTGTTGTTGTGTACTTATTTGGGTAGCTCATTGAGAAGAAATAACTTGAAGGTAAAAAACTGTTACTTGTTATTCTGTCTCAAGCATACAGCATACAGGACTGGACAAACTGTATACCTGTGATAAATGAGAGTTAAACACAAACTCATGAATAAGTGAACTGCACTCAGAGCTCAGTTTTTCAAATAAATTGGCAGCCAGGTGCCAGTGGCTCATGTTTATAGTCCTAGCTTCTCCGGAGGCTGAGAATCATGGTTTGAAGCCAGCTGGTACAGGAAAGTGCACGTGACTCTTATCTTCAATTAACCACTAGAAAACCAGGAGTGGCATTGTGGCTCAAAGTAGTAGAGCGCTAGCCTTGAACACAAAAGCTTAGGGACAACGCTCAGTCCCTCAGTTCAAGTCCCACAACCACCACCACCAAGAATACAATTGGCAAAGAGTAGGACCCTGCCTTTCTTCCCTGGTTTAGGGAAGAACAGGTAGCCATTCAAAAGAAAACTGCTGTTCTGTTGCTTCCTTTTGTGTTTTTAAGTTCTTTTTACATGATGGCAAATTCACTGTTTACATATTTTACTCTTCATGTGATGAATAGCTACACTTAAAAAACTGAATGTAGTTACAGCTATAGGATTTCTGTTCTTCCTGTATTCATTACACAACATATAGAAGTCAAACTATTCTGATCCTGCCAGATAGCATGAATGTGTGAGATTTTGCATTTAAATATCTATAAATGGTGTCATAGCACATCGATTTCAAAAGATTGAATGAATCAACCCATCCCTGTTGTTACAGCTAAGGAAAATAGTGTAGTCATTTCTGGGAGGAAATAAAATGCACACCAAAATCCAATTTCACCCATTGAACATTTCTTGAAAATTAAAAATGTTCTATGCTTACATGCTTTTAAAATTTTTCTACTTTTTATATTGTGTGTTGTTTATGAGTCTTCCTGTCTAAATAAAAACTAATTGGGATGGGAAGGTGGCTCAGTGGTAGAGCGTTTGCCTTGCATGCATGAGGTCCTAGGTTCGATTCCTCAGCACCACATAAGCAGGAAAAAAAAGCCGGAAGTGGTTCTGGGGCTCAAGTGGTAAAGCGCTCGCCTTGAGCTGAAGAGCTGAGGGACAGCACCCAGGCCCAGAGTTCAGGCCCCACGACTGGACCCCCCCCCCAAAAAACAAAACAAAACAAAAAAACGCTTCTCTTCTGTAGCTTCTATTAAAGTTCTGTCATGGGTTGAAAACTGCTACTGTCCAGTTTAGGGCTAAGTGCCTACCAGAATGCCTACATAGGGAATTCTAGCACTAGGGAGGGAATTAGGCACTTTCTGTTACTGGGTTTTGAGGAATTTTAGGAATAATTGGCAGTACCATTTCTTAGGATCCCACTATGTATATCCAATCGTATATATGATATAAATATATGTATTGTATATGTATTTACATACTATATGTGTACATATCTTTACTTATGCATACATTTTAACATGTTTTCTTAATAACACTGCAGGATCAATATTGTCATCATGCTGATAGAGGAGTACGCTAGCTCAGAGCATTTAAATAGTCTGTCCTACCACGCCACTAGAATCCAGTGTTTCTCTCCACCACCCTGTCCTGCCATCTTGTCCAGTTTTGATACAGTGCTATGAAGGAAAGCAAAGCAGGGCTGATGGAATGGAGAGCATGAGAAGATGCTGTTCTCCAGGCAAGGTTTCTGGGGGTCCCACTTGAGCAGAGGCTTGGATGAAATAAGGGAGTCAGCTGTGTGGACACTTAGGGGAGTCAAGGAGCAGCAAGGAAAATGCCTGTCAGTGGCATTCTGGGAAATACCTCCAGAGGGCAGGTGAGTGGTATCTCCAAATTGTTTGTTATATACCTTCAAGGACATACTGTTCAATCAACTTACTTGAAGCCTACTAGGTTTCTATTCTCTGGGAACTTCTTTGCTGTCCCAGGTTCATTTGCTATACCATGTTCATAGAAGGCTTACTTCCTGTGAATGCAGCAAAATGTCTGAGGTCAAGTTTTTCCTACTTCTCCAGCACTAGCCTTTTGGCCAGTATTGTCACTGTGGGTGACAGGAACGTCAGCTTCCCACAGAATCACTGGCAGCTGGAACCCAGCGTGGTTCTCTAGGAATCCCAGAGAACTGACAAGAAACCTTCGCACAGCAGGGAGATCCTTCCTTCTGCTACAGTTCTGTCTATCTCTAGCAACTTTCACATGCAGGCAATGCCTGAGCAGGACGCCAGTCCCCTTCCCAAGAGGGGAGCCACTAGTGCGTTCTTGCTCCTGTAGGATTTAATACCTCTTGGAGGGACGATGAAGATGAATGAGATAGTTCAGTTCTCAAGTCTGTGATCTAGCAGAGGAAATGGACAGTATCTCTAGAATCATTCATGCCAGCAGTGGCACGTGATCTAAGGAACTGTAATAGACCACATGTAAGTGAGATCACATGCTGTTTGTTTTACCGTACCTGGCTTGCTCCATTTAGGATAGTGTCCTCAGGTGTATCCATCCTGTCACAGCAGACAAGCTTTATTTGTTTTCACACAGTGCAGCATCATTGACTACACGGCTCCTTCCCAAGATCAATGCTGCAGGTGCTGTCACCCTCCTTAGGTGTGGAAGTACAGAAATGTTCTTCCAATGCTCCCTTTGCATCTTCCATCATCCACCTCCTGAGCACGCACTTCCCCTAACTGCCGGCTGGAAAATCACATGTGCCATTTGCAACAGCTTATCGGAAGCAAGCAAGACTGACGTGAATTGAGCAAGAATTTCTGGAATACCAACCTAAGGCCAGAGCAAAGGATGGAAAGTGGGCTTTGACTGTCTAAACAGGACAGGGGTGATGATTAACCAAGATTGAAGTCCTGCCGATTTAAATGGGGTGAGAGCTAGGAGTGGAGGCAATTCCTCCTCCAGCAGGAGTGGTCCTCAGGAGCCAGCCCCAGACTCAAGAAAGATGTTTACTGTGAGGATCGCCTGCCTGGTGCTGAGTGTGGCCAGCACAGTATGGGTATGGAACCATTTGTCTTCTCTCCCCACTTTCTCTCGGGTGTTTCTCCCAATGTTCTAAGTGCACCAGTTCTATATTCTGACACACCTGTGGTTCTGTGGGCTCCAGACTATGGAGCTAAATTCCTAGATGGATCTGACATGGATGCAGGACAACTTGGATTCCAAAGGGAGACACTGGAGGGACTACACAGGGCAACTTTGACATCTCTCAGTATTACATTGTTTGGTTGTTTATTGTTTTTTACTATGCTAAGGATTGAAGACAGGGCCTTGTATATGCTAGGCAAACACTCTACCACTGAGCTACATTCTCAGTCTTGTTCACCATATTTTGTTACATGAATATTTTTGTTTTGGAGGTACTGGGCTTCGAACATAGGGCCTTCCCCTGGTAAATGAGTGCTCTTTCACTTGAGCCATACTCTTGGTGTTGGTGACCATTTCCATCTCTGTCTCTACTAAGTCTTGGAGGTATTATGTAAGTTAATAGAACAAAACATTTTATAAGAAGACTTTTTTTCTAATTCTTAACTTCTTGTTATATGTCTATAATAAGTAGAACATTTAATTGTAGATAGCTTTGCTAAAAGGTTCTTTCTATGTTTCTTTCAAGACAAAAAAAAAGGTAATATGTTTTCTTAGAACCATACAGCAAACCTAGAAAATATTAGTTGAAGGCCATATGCTTTTTGGAAGTATCTGTATTCTTTCAAGATAACTATTAAATACTATAATAATTTCTACTATTTAGCTAAGATATATATGAAAGAAAACAAAGCACTTGAAACACTAATCTTATGAAAACAAGACAAATACAAAGTAACATTTTGTGGAAAATAAATAAAAATCACTTGAAGTGATGTCTGGAATAATGAATAGGTATCAGTTACCTCTCTGCTTTTCCCATTGGCATATCTAGTTTTGGGATGTTTGTATTGTTGTACTATTTTATTCTGAAATACAATTTAATTTATTATTTATAACTTATTTCTTAGACCAAAGGGCGGTACTTATTGCTGTATACTTATAGTTCTTGGTCTCTTGAATTATTATTACTGCAGTTATTTAGAAAAATGGCAATGAAATTACATTCCAACCAATTATAAATATGGGTAAAATGTCTGAAACGAATGTAGTCATAGCACAATCCTTGTAAGCCAGTGGTATAGAATAAAATAATGAATATCTAAAAGCAATCCTTCTTCACTAGAATATAAAGTCTGTTGAAGTTTTTTTTTTTTGTATTCTATTTTATCTGTCTTACAATACAAAAAACTTCACTTGGTATTTGTAATTCTCAAGTGTTCAAAAAACATTTCCAGTCACTGATTACTAGTTTTACTTCCATTCACTATCTTCATTCCAAATAAAAAGAAATGGTTACCTAAAGGAGCAAACTTAAAAAGCATTTCTATGTCTGAATTGGGTAGTTTTCATGTTCTTGATAAATGTTTGTCCAACTTATTGGTCTATCTTAAAGATAGTAGTAGAAACCTGAAAGGGCAGTAGGTTAAGACAATATAGCTCACTCTACTGAAACAGCAATTATCAGAGAAAGAACTCACTGAAGTTTTCAAGTATCTTCCTATTTGCAGTTTTTAATGAAAAGCAGGTGAGATTAAACTAAGATTCAAAGGATTTTTCTCTTTATCATGGATCGTTTGAACCTCCCAACACTTATCACATGCTGGTTTAATGCCAAACACAAGTTAAACTTGTACACTGTATCACCTTTGGTTCTCACACCATTCCCTTAAAATGTACTGGCATTAGGGTTTTCATTTGAGGTCAGAAGCTTGCAGCTTGTGGGCTCTAGATGTACTATGCCAAATGTATTTAATATGTGCTATTGCCAAAGCCAATAGTAAGCAATAGTGAAAATTCATCCTGTGACCGTGCCTTTTCTTTCTTGGGACTTGAAGAAGATAGAACGGGAACTTCCTCTCTTCTGGCTAATGCTGTTGTTCTTGCTCTTTTTTGTGCATGTAAATGAATATCTCTCAAGACTATGGACACTGGCGAAGGTGACTTTATAGAACAAGGAGGACAGGGGCGTGGCCCAAGAATTATGGAGAAACAGCAGTCTGCCTGCAAAGAGACAGACTGGCCCTTCTGCTCCGATGATGACTGGGTAAGCAGTGGGCCTGACGAGCCAGGAGCCCTTCTCTCTGGCGGTAGTAGGTACAGTGTGTCTGGGAAAGTACTAAGATTCTGAGTACTGAGACCTGTGTACTGTGCCATGGGACCAACTTCACTGCTTAGTGACCCCTGAGAATTTCTCTATGGCTTCTCACACATCCTCTTATCAACTTGAAAGCCAATAGATGGTTGGAAGAAATGGGGAAGGGAAGCAATGGGAACTACATGGGAAGCTGCAAAGTCATTCTGGATCCAAGCTAGAGACCCATGGTGTAATTGTTCCTCTTCATTTTCAGGGCCCAAAATGTCCTTCTGGCTGCAGGATGAAAGGGCTGATTGATGAGGCCAATCAAGATTTTACCAACAGAATAAATAAGCTCAAAAATTCACTGTTTGATTTTCAAAAGAACAACAAGGATTCCAGTTCATTGACCAGAAATATAATGGAGCTTCTGAGAGGGGACCTTGCCAAAGCCAATAGTAAGTATTTCATATTTAGTACCTTGTTGTTTAAATGCGACAGTGAAAATTCAAAATAAATTATGTCTGCTTGAAGCTACTGCGCTGTCATTTCAAAGAAAATGCCCTTGGGTCCACTGGGTAAGGTTATGGTGAAATAACTGGAATATAATCAAGCTGTGTCATTTGGGATTAATCCCAAAGAATTTTCTTCTGTATTTATTTGGATTCTTAATAAAACGTCTAACTAAGACATCATAACTATTACCCATGAATGACATTGTTCAAAACCCAACTATCTAATAAGGCTGAAACTCATAGACTAAATGTCCAGAGAACAAATAGAAACAAAATAAACTGTAGAAACTGTGAGACTTCTCTTTTTGTTGTTTTTTGGTCAGGCGTGGGGCTTGAACTCTGGGCTTGGGAACTATCCCTGAGCTCTTCAGCTCAAGGCTAGCCCTCTACACCTTGAGCCACAGCACCACTTCCGGTTTTCTAGTGGTTTATTGGAGATAAAAGTCTCACAGACTTTCCTTTGAACCGAGATCCTTAGATCTCAGCCTCCTGAGTAGCTAGGATTACAGGTGTGAGCCACCGGCCTGTGAGACTACTTCTAAGTAAATCTTCTTTTGCCTTCCCTCCTTTCCTTTCCTTTCTTTTCCTCCCTTCCTCCTTTTCTCCCTCTCTTCCTCTTTCTTTCTATTACTTCCTTCCTTCCTTTTTTGTGGGGTGTAAAAATCACTCAATAGTTCCTTCAATACTCATTTGTCTTTCTTTCTTTCTTTCCTTTCTTTCTCCCTCCCTTCCTCCTCTCTTCCTTCCTTTTTGTTGGCTATAAAAACCACTCAACAGTTCCTTCAATACCTTTCTTTCTTTTCTTTCTTTCTTTTCTTTCCTTTCTCCCTCCCTCTTTCCTTCCCTTTCTTCCTTCCTTTTTGTTGGCTATTAAAAAAATCACTCAACAGTTCCTTCAATACTTCAATACTTTTCTTTCTTTCCTTTCCTTTCTCTCCCTCCCTTCCTTCCCTCCTTCCTTCTTGTTGCTTGTTGGCTATAAAAAAAAAAATCACTCAACAGCTCCTTCAATACCCATCTTTTCTTTTTCAGATTATGATAACACATATAACCAAGTGTCAGAAGATCTGAGAAGCAGAATTGAGATCCTGAAGCGCAAAGTCATGGAGAAAGTACAGCACATTCAGCTTCTACAGAACAACGTCAGGGCTCAGCTAATAGATATGAAGCGCCTGGAGGTGAGGGGGGGGGGTCTCAGGCCCCATCTCCCTGTCTTTGAATGATGGGGGACAGGAAGACAGGAGTCACTCATGCAGCCAGTATCTAGTAGACACCCTGAGCAGGGCCATATCCACCCGTACTGGAAAGCAGGAGTTGGTTCTCGTGCTCTACAGATAAAAAATTCTCAGAGATGTTATGAGAATTTTCCACGGATGCCTAAGTAGTAGATTTCAAAAGAACTTTTTCAGTCTGCTCTGCTCATGGCTTTAGCCTAGGTCTCACTGACAGCCTCGTAATTAGGGTTTTTTTGAAGGGGGAATAGCACCTGACCTTTCACCCATGCTAAGTCTCGGATGGATCCTAGTAGCTCCTTTGTATGACTGCTTAGCCTGGCTCTACCCAGCATCCTTCCAGAAAGGATGGCCGCCCAAGGCAAATCATAGGGTATACAGATCGATAGCTATGCAAACCAGAGAAATGAAACCACTTACCAGACCGCACACTACTAGGTACTACCAGGTGCTCAGAAGCCGTGGCGGGAGTCACTGGTCTCTACCGTTTCCTCTGTCTTTCTGCAGGTGGAAGTTGATATTAAAATCCGATCTTGCAAAGGGTCGTGCAGTAGGGCTTTGTCTAGAGAGCTCCGCCTGAGTGACTACGAGGACCAGCAGAGACAGCTGGAGCAGGTGATGGCCAAAGACCTGCTTCCCCCGAGAGAGAGTCAGTACTTCCCGATAATAAAGATGAGGCCCATGCCAGACTTGGTTCCGGGCAGTTTCAAGAGCCAGCTGCAGACGGCCCCTCCGGAGTGGAAGGCCCTAACGGAGATGCAGCAGATGCGGATGGAGCTGGAGGGCCCGGGGAGGGAGGGCAGCCCGGGGAGGGCGGGCAGCCCCCGGGGAGACGCTGCGGGCTACGTCGACGAAGCGGGGCCGGTGACCGAAAGCCCCAGGCACCCGCGCCCCGGTGGAGCCGGACACTGGAGTTCGGGACCCGGAACGGATGGAAGCCGGAACCCGGGGACGACCGGGGCTGGGGGTCCCGGACGCTGGCAGCAGCCGGGGGACACCGGTTCGAGCCCCAGCGGAAGCTGGAACACGGGCGGCGCCGGGAGCTTTCGGCCGGACGGCTCCAGCCCGGACTGGGGTGAGTTCACCGAGGAGTCCAGAGGCCCGGCGACGAGGAAGGAGCAGCTCGCGGGCCGGCTGCCGGCCGCCAAAGCCGACAAGGAGCTGCTGATCGGCCGCGAGAAGGGGGCGCCCTCCGCGGGGGGCCCGGCCTTCGCCCGCCGCGCCTGCTCCAAGACGGTCACCAAGACGGTGATCGGGCCCGACGGCCGCAAGGAGGTGACCAAGGAGGTGGTGACCTCCGAGGACGGCTCGGACTGCGGCGGCGACGCGGCCGACCTGGGGCTGCAGGGCTTCGGCAGCCGGGGCAGCCTGGACGAGCTGGCCCGCCGGCACCCCGACGTGTCCTCCTTCTTCGGCGCCGGCGCGCTCGAGCCCTTCTCCGCCTTCAAGGAGCCGGGCGGGGGCGTGGACGGCGACATCTTCGCCGACCTGGAGCACGGCGGCGGCGGCTCGCAGGCCGAGCCGTGGTCGGGCGGCACGGCCACCCACCACAAGCTGGTGACCAGCAGCAGCAGCAGCAGCACGATCAGCAGAGGGGGCTCCGCCTCCGGGACCAAGAACTATAAAATGGCAGACGAGGCCGCCGGCGAAGAGGCTCGCTCCACCAAGAGAGGCCGGGCGAGGCCTCGCCCCGCCAGAGGTATCCACCTTCCCTGACCCCCGCCCCTCTCCCCGAGTCTAAGATAACTGTGTCCGCCACGTGCGGCCCGGGGCGCCCCGCACCCCCGGCCTCTTCTCTGTACCCCCGACGGCTCCCCCTGCGCACTCAATAAACGCGCGCGACCGCCGCCGCCTCGGAAGCTCGGCTTGGAGTTTTGTTGGAGTCGCTGCTCGCCAGCCCGCCCCAAAGCAGGGGTGCGGGGGGGGGGGCGTGCGGGAGGAGTGCGGGGAGGGGGGGCTGTCAGCCCATCCACGGACCGACCTGGGCCAGCTACAAAACAAAAACAAGTCGAACGGTATTGACTGGATAGAGAATATGCAAGATCACCCGCACTTCCCAGACAGAACACGTTTCTCACTACGGAAACATTTCCGTCCCAACACCATCCCTATTCTGTGGGTGGGAGGGAGGGAGAAAGGAGGGAGGGAGGCAGAAGAGAGGGAGGCAGAAAACATTTCTCACTCTGGAAACATTTCCGTTCGCAACATAATCTCTTTTCTGAGGAAGGAAGGAAGGAAGGAAGGAAGGCAGGCAGAAAACATTTCTCTGGAAACATTTCCATCGCAACATAATCCCTTTTCTGTGGGTGGGTGGAAGCAAGGGAGGAAGTGAGGGAGGGAGGGAGGAAGGAAAGGAGGGAGGGAGGAAAGAAAGGAGGGAGGGAGGAAGGAAAGAGGGAGGGAAGGAAGGGAGGGAGGGAGGAAGGGGGGGAGGGAGGAAGGGGGGGAGGGAGGAAGGGAGGGGGGAGGGAGGAAGGCAGGCCGGCAGTAGTGCTCGCCACCTTTCATCCAGCAGGGCCAGGCCCTCTTCTGCGAGGAGGAATGACAGTGGCTTCTTGGCCGGCTTGGTTTTTCTTTTAGACTGTGGTGATGCCCTCCAAACACACCCTGCAGGTGCCCAAAGTGGCATTTTCCCTATCAAGCTCCCGGGATCCAGTAAGGTGGTTTCTGTCTATTGCGATCAAGAGACCGGTCTGGGAGGATGGCTTTTGATCCAGCAAAGGACGGACGGGTCGCTGAATTTTAACCGGACCTGGCAAGACTACAAGACGGGCTTCGGCAGCCCGGACGAGCGGGGGCAAGGAGAGTTCTGGCTAGGCAACGACCTCCTCCACGGGCTCACGCGGCGGGGCGCGGTGCTGCGGGTGGAGCTGGAGGACTGGGCGGGGAACCGGGCCCACGCCGAGTACCACTTCCGCGTGGGCTCCGAGGCCGAGGGCTACGCGCTGCACGCCTCGGCCTACCGCGGCACGGCGGGCGACGCGCTGGTGGCGGGCTCGGCCGAGGAGGGCGCGGAGTACACGGCCCACCACGGCATGCCGTTCAGCACCTTCGACCGCGACGCCGACCGGTGGGAGGAGAGCTGCGCCGAGGTCTACGGGGGAGGCTGGTGGTACAACAGCTGCCAGGCAGCCAACCTCAACGGCATCTACTACCCCGGGGGCGCCTACGACCCCCGCGACAACAGCCCCTACGAGGTGGAGAACGGGGTGGTGTGGGTGCCCTTTCGGGGGGCCGATTACTCCCTGCGGGCCGTGCGCATGAAAGTCAGGCCCCTGGACGCCCCGTAGGGGAGCCGCCGGGAAGCGGCCCGGCCGCGAGCCGCGGGTGCGCGCCATCATTCACTCCTCGTACTGTAGCCAGCTGGGGCCCAGACGTCTTCGTTGAAAAATAAAACTACACTTTTTTTTTTTAAGCCTTTGAGTAGCTCTTGTGAGTTTTACATGTTCTAGAAGGATTCACCGTTTCCTCCAGAGCGGGGAGCCCCATGGGAACGTCCCTGGGCCACCCTGAAAGGTGACCCTACCCAGAGCCATAGACCTCCCCCCCCTGCAAAACGAAGTTATGCCATCCACTTGATTTGGAGAGTTTTAACCCAACATTTTAAACTCACTGAAGGGAACAAAAATTGTAGAGGAACTAACAAGGTATGAGAGTCATCTTTTATTTATTTATTTATTTTGCTAGCAAGAACATTCAAGAAGACAGGAGAAACATTGTCTGCATAGGCACAGAAATCTGTTCTTTCAAGGCTTTCCGTAGAGCACGTAGTGTGAACTTAAATCTTTTTTTCAGGTCTAGTCAATGTCTTTCAAAAGCACATGGGCAAAATAGATGCACTTAGAATCTTTATAATTATTCCCAAAGCAGATTTTCAGTTTGGAAACTGATTAAACAACCCCCACTATTGATGTGACTTTATTTTTCTATCACTTATACATTATAGTCTATGGATGTGTTATTAAAAGTAATTCATTGGTTTGAAAGCATCTCACTAAATGTGATTCCTACCAGTTTCATAAATTCAACATATTTATTCGACACCAGTCAATATTTTATTTGATTTAAGGTGCATCTTTAATTGTGGTAGCCTTGACTCCTGTCTCCAACCTTTTTTTTTTCTTTGTTCTTTGTTGTAATAACTATTTGCCATTGGTTCTCAAGTAGGTGTTGAAATATCCCAAGTAATCTGGTACATCACCCTAATGGTATAGCTTCTATCCTGATGTCATTACATCCTTTCTCCCAAAGAGGAAAGTGGGAAAGAAGGAACAAAGGAAGGAGGGAGGCAGAGGGAGAGGTAGGGAGAAAGGAAGGAAGAAAAGAATGAGTGAAGAGGAAGGGAGAGGGGTGGGCAGGGAGGCTAGAATTTGGGGGTCAGAAATCAGCTGGGTTGGTGATGAGCGCTGGAAATGAATCACAAAAGAAGCACCAGTATTTCCTGGCTTCCTCATGTAGATCTGTAAACCATTGAGACAAATAAAATAATCTAAGAAAAGCCCAAATGTTACTAGAACGTAAGACTTGAAGCTACAGACCCTTAAAAAACAGGAGCGATGGATGGAAACAAATGCTGATAGGTCTTTGACTATGGACATGAGCCTTTTTCCCCCTCTCTCTAAAAATGGGTACTTTTAAACAAACCCACTGAAGCAAGTGCAATGCTTTGTACTATCCCTGATATGAAACTCTAACAAGTTAACTATCTAACAAGTGTAATCATCACCATGCTATGCTATGCTATAGCAATGCAATTGCTCCTGAGGTTCAAGTTCTGTCATGTGTGCTTTTTACCCACCTGTTAGAACTCCTACTTACTCTTTACTACACAATGCAGCAATGAAATGACTCCCTGCCACTGGTGTTAAAAACAACAACAACAACAACACAGTTCAGAGTGTTCTTAAAGAATCTCAAATACTGAAGTAAAAAAAACCCTTTAACTGGACACTGGTGGCTCACACCTAGCTACACAGGAGGCTGAGATCTGAGGGTCACGGTTCAAAGCCAGCCTGGGAAGGAAAGTCCATGAGACTTTTATCTCCAGTGAACAACCAGAAAACAAATTGACAATGGTAGAGGGCTAACCTTGGGTGGGAGAGCTCAGGGACAGCTCCTAGGTGCAGAGTTCAAGCCCCACAACCAACAAAAAGAACAGCAACAAAAATCCCAAAAAGTGTCTCTGTAGCTCAAGTGGTAGAGTGCTAGCTTTGAGTTCAAAGAGACTCAGGCAGCATGCCCAGGCCCTGAATTCAAGCCCCACAACTAACAAAAACTCAGTTGCTTCCATAAAATCAAGACATTGAGGAAACATCTAGATCAAAAGGAAAGAAAACCTGCAGAAGTTAAAATTCACTGTTTTTCAATTTGGTAACGTACTAGGGACCCCAACTTTACTCTCATTATCTCATGATACCCGGATGAGCAAACTTCCAGCTCAATCTGCTAAGTGCCTTTCTGAGGCATGTAAAATGTCTGCTTGAAACAGCATGCGGGCCTCCTGAAATGCATGGCATCTCTTGTCTCCCATCAAGTCTCACTCTTGTACCTTAAAGTAAATTGGGGGCCCATGGCTCACACTTGAAATTCTAGCTACTCACAAGGCTGAGATCTGGAGCACTGAAATTCAAACCAGCACTGGCAGAGAAGTCTGTGAGTCTGTGTCCAAAAGAACCAGTAAAAGGCAGGCTGAAGGTGTTGTTCAAATGGTAGAACACCAGCTGCAAAGCAAGTCAAGGAAGAGAAGGTTTTGAATTCAAACAGAGATATGAGACCATATCAACTTAAAGTATATAGAGGATGCACAAACACAGCAGAATTCTGTTATAGTCAAGCAAAACAATGCAACATGTACCATTTGAAACAGCTTGAGATTAGCAACATTTAGATTTTGGTAGTTAATGATACAAGATCCTTGTGGCAATAAACTTCACACTGAAATTCTTTCCTTTTCTTTCTTTTTCGCGCGCGCGCGTGTGTGTGTGTGTGTGTGTGTGTGTGTGTGTGCTCATGCCTGTATTGGGACTTGAGTTCAGGGCTTGGGGTCTGTCCCTTAGTTTTTTCTGCTCAAGGATGGAGCTCTTCCACTTGAGCCACAGCTCCACTTCCAGCTTTTTAGTGGTTAATTGAAGATAAGAGTCTATCGGGTTTGTCTACCTAAGCTCTGGCTTTGAACCCCAATCTTCAGATCTCAGCCTCCTGAGTAACTATGATATAAGCATGAGCCACCAGCGCCCGGCTCAAACCCATTTCTGACATAGCCTGTATTTATGTATTCATTGATTTGTTTGTGCATTCATTAGTTCACTTTTTAATTGAATTGCAAGTACTTTATAAATCTCATTTACAGAGAAAAATCCATGATTGAGGTTGAGAGCAGGAAAGACCGTAAGCATCATGGACATGAGTAAGATGATAAGGAACCCACAGCTGGGAAGATATTCACATTGAGTCTTGAATAAGAGCTGTGTATTACGTTTTCTGTTTCCACATGATAAATGCAATTGTTCAGAGGCGCAGCGCAGGTAGACTTACGAGAGCCTGCCAGGTCTGAGCTGAGAAAGGCTATTATTAAGTAGTGGTTCCCTGTCCACCAGTTGTTGCTGCACGTGGTATGAGCTGATTGCAATAGATTATTCTGGAAAACATTTGCTAAATTCACCTGACTCAGACTGACTCAATCCCCGATGGGTCTCTGACCTCACAGTGCCTGCTGTTACAAAACTCCCCAAAGTATCTCCTTTCAAGAGGCACGGCTACTGCAGCAAATAGTTGGTGACTCTGGGTGAAGGACACAGAGCTATTCATTAAACTCTTCTAGAAAGTTCTCATAGACCTCTTTTCAAAGTAAAAAGTTAAGAGGAATAAGTATCCTTCAATTGACGAACAAAAAATGTGTTGCCCACAGATCATTGTTGGGTGGGAGGAGATTAAGGGTCCTAAGATTCATGAACGAAGTTTCAGCTCTATATGCTAATAACAAGAGCACTTTATAAAACGTAGAGTCTGAGTTAGCAAATTGCATGAGACCAATTGAGAGGCAATACAGTATAGGTAATAGCTTCAGCCTTTGGAGATAGGTTAGCCTAAATGCAGGACATAGGAAATGCTCACCTAAGAGGTTGTGACCACTTTCAGGATGACTATTTGCTCAAATCATGCCTCGTGGCAGCCATTTGAGTGCAAAACATTCCAGGTATAAAAGATAAAGAAGCCAGGAACTAGTGGCTCATGTGTGAGTCCTAGTGACACAGGAGACTGAGATCCGAGGATTGCAGGTTTGAAGCTAGTCCAGGCAGAAAAGTCCATTCGACTCATCTCCAATTAACCACCAAAAAAAAACCAGAAGTGGAGCTATGGCTCAAGTGGTAGAACATCAACATTGACTGTAAAAGCTAACTCAGGCCTAGGGCCTGAGTTCAATCTCTGTATGGCACAAAAACAAAGAGAGAAAGAAAGAAAGTGAAAGAAAGAGGGAAAGAGACAGGGAAAGAGGGAGGGAGGAAGGAAGGAAGGAGAAAAGAAAGGAGGAAAGACAGTCTCAGATAAGTATCATAAGGTTATGGGTAAATCTTTAAAAAGACTATTTTACACATCTTCACTAGGAGAAGCAATTGTTTCATTATATTGAAAACCGGTTCTTGAATGGGAAAAATCAGCTATGAAGCACTTCCTACTAAATGATGCTTTAAGAAAGCTTGCAGCTTTCTACTTAAGACTTACATATTACCAGAGGAATCTTTCTGCAATTTGTACATCAACTAGGAATTGGCCAGCCGGTTGTCTGCTTTTTTGGTTTTAATTGGTGGCTTTACTTTAGGCTCCAGGGACATACTGGGTCCTCTGTGTTTGCACAAAAGGAGCAGAGGGCAGAGGCCTGCACTTTGCCCCCTTCCTCCCCCGGACCTACCCCTGGCCCAGAGGACTCCTGTACTCAGCCTGGCTTGCTTCAAAATGGTTACAACTAAGTATTTGCCATATTGAGTCTCCCAGATATGCCTTTCTTGGAAAATTATATATATATATATATATGTATATATATATATATATATATATATATATATGTAAGAATATCCAAGACCTGGATGATCATTGTGATTAGTTATTATTAGTTACTATGAATTTATATGAAAACCAGCCTTTCCCACAGGTTGATTTGGAAAGAATGATGGAGGAGAATCTCAAAAGTGAAGGATAAATTCGATGCCTGGTGTTATTTGTTGGAAAGTAAGAAATAATTAAGGGTTCAGAAGCTTTCAATAGTGACAGATGTCATATTTCCACAACTATGT